GCAGGTGCTGGGAGTCTGGGTGGGTGGGTGGGGTGGGGTGGGGTGTGCGCAAATCCGGACTCGTTACCCTCAGCCTAGATCCGCAGAAACAATGCGGGCAGATCCTTTTCTCTGTCTGGGTTTCAGTTTCCTCGTTCGGAAAGAGGATTGAGAGAAACCAGTTTGGGATTTTCGGCCCTCAAATTCTAATTCTGAGGTTCTGCAACTTTCATGTGTGTAAGAATTGGGGAAGGAGGGCTTTGACATTCCAGATTCCCGGATTTCCCCCATTTTGATCCGGCAGGTCCGGAAAGGGGCCCAGGAATCTTCAATGCGTACATGATAGTGGTCGCGGAAAACACTTGGAGAAGCACTATAATCTTTCCAAATAAAGACTCTATGGTGTCACATCCCTGACGATAAACTAAAAAAAACAACAAAACCAAAGCAGAACGAAAACAAAACGCAAACACTGGTAACTTCATTCATATATTCATTCAGTAAATATTTGTTAGGTCCCTACTATGTGTCATACATAGTTTTAGGCCTGAGGATACAGTCGTGAACAAAACAAACACTTTGCCTTCACAGAGTTGACATTTTTGTTGAGGTCCTACTGTGTGCCAGACCCCAGACACTTTACTGATCTTTAGTACTCCTCGCTGAAGTGGGGAGTACCCCTAATAAGAGTTCTGGCATTCAGTCTTACAAGTGATGAGTGGGGTACTAGCCACAGCTTGTTTGGCTTAACTATCATTCCCACTCCCAGAATCAAATGCAAGTTTCTCTTCTCCACAGCCCCACCTTGGACAGCTGCAGCTTCCCGGGCTCCTATCCACATTCCCCATCCTCTCCCCAGGCTATTCCCACTGCTTGGAATGCCACCCCCCACTACACACACACACACACACACACACACACACACTCTTCCTTCATTGCCTTTGTTCCTTCAGGAAACCTTAGATTGCAGCCTGACATGTTCTCCACAGAGGCCCTGGGAAGAATTACTGAGCTTATGATGGCTGCTGGGGTCCCTGTGTTGCTCATGCCCCCTTCCCAGCTCCATCCTGGGGACTGGCCAAGCCTGTATCCACTTGGCCTGGATAATAACCTTCTCTTCAGTCCAAACGACAGCTCATGTGGCAGAGAAAGCACAGGGAATGAAGCTGAAAGTCTTCTAGGTGCCTTCTGGCTTCGTCTTCCTTTCTTTATTGAAGACACTTCCCAGCTCTGACATGTGCTTGCTTTTCTGACTTCTTTGAGCCAGGTCAGAATGGGAGGGTGAGGCAGGGGCCAGCGGGGTGGGGGGTGGCTGGAGGGTTTCCCCTGGCTGCTGAGAGAGAAGCCCCTGAAGTCTTCAGGCTCCAGGGTCTGAGGAAAAGCCTATTCCCACATCTGGCTCCCCCCACCCTTTTATTTGACCATGACCTTGGCCAGGCTGGGCTTTGTGGAGGAGAAGAAGCTTGCACGGCGGCCCTCTCCACAGGGCCAGTCCCACAGGCAGCCCCAGGCCAGGTTGCTGCTTCCTGAGCAGATGAATTATTACCGGGAGATTTCCTTCCCTGTCTGCGCCTCCTCACAGGGGCTCCTGGCTCCCTTCACTTTCGCTTTCTCCCCCTTCTCCCCCTCTCTTCTGCTCTCCACACTCAGGTGGCTTGAAATTCCTGTCCAGCCCCCTCCCCATTCCAGCTTGACCTGGAGAAGCCAAACAGGGCATGAACTGGGCCCGGAAGGCAGGAGGGGGTGGATTTGGTAGGCTCATTCATTCATTAGCTCTTCAGGCAGATTTTGACACATGGGACCCTGGGAGTAAAATAAAACCATGAATGAGAGTGAGCTGGGCTTTCAGCAGCCCAGAGGGGAAGGCGAGTTGTAAACAAAGAATCCCAGGACAATGTGGCGGGAGCAAGCCAGGGTCTGGCATCAGAGAGACCTGGTTCCGGCCCAAGGTTAGCTACCTCTCCTCTTGAAGTCTCAGTTTCCTGCTCTGAAAACTGGGGATAATAATAGTACCCATTTGTAGGGCTGGTGATGGTTCCTTGAGTTTATGCCAATAAAGTCAGGTTCTGATGCACAGTGAGTGCTCACCACCCGAGAGGAGTTTGTGCTAGTGTTGTAAGGAGCTGGCCCCAGGCCCAGGCATAGATTTGACTCTGTGCTGGGCCTTGTCCCTGGGAGTGGGGAGGAGTCTCCTGCCACATTCTCAGCTCACCCACAAGCGGTTTCACCTCCTCCCACTCTCTGCCCCTCACTCCGCTCCAATCACACTGGCCTCCTCACTCTTCCTGGAGCCCACCTCTTCCTGGCACACGGTGACTCCAGATATACCCTTAATAAGTGAAGCTTATTCCTTCACTTCCTTCCAACCTTGCCTCCAATCTCATATTCTCAGGGAGGCCTTCCCTAACTACTGGGACTAAAACAGCAACTGCCCCTCCTGCCCCCCAGTACCTCTCCCACTCTCTCTCTTCCCTTTACTCTGCTTTACTTTTTCCATAGAATTTATCTCTGCTTTCACTCATTCATTTATTCATTCCTCCATAACTATTAATTGAGCTCTTACTATATGCCCAACACAGCTCTTGGTTCTGGGAATACAGAAGTGAACATTATACATATTTATTTGTCTACCTGCTGTCTCTCTCTTCACTGGAATATAAGCTTCACAGGGTGGGGAATTTGTATCCTGCTCATCTCACTCCTGCCCCATCACAACCTTCTGGGGGAGGTATTGATATTATATTCATTTTACAGATGAAGAAACCTAGGTTCCGAGAGGGAATAATGACTTGCCTGAGGTCACACAACGGGCCAGTGGAGAAGCTCAGTTCTCTCTGTCTCCTTCCCCAATCACATAGCCTCTCAGGTAGCCGAGTTGTGTGAGGGCTGAGTAGGACTTCACCAGGTAAGAGGAGGAGTGTCTTCCAGGCTGAGAGCCCCTCCCTGCCTTCCTGACCAGTGGACCCTGGACTTCAGTCCCCCTAAAGCATTTGGAGTTCCACCGAGGCACCAGCTTTGCACATCTCTGAGCCTTTGCCCCAGCTGTCCTCCCTGCCTACAGTACCCATCCTTTCAGGTCTGATAATTAGGACAGCCCTACTCATCAGCCAAAATTCAGTGTAGCTTCTCAGTGAAGTCTACTTTGCCTCTCCTCCCCAACCTTTGTGCAAAGTATTGTGGTGTTGATCAGCATATTTTGACTTCACTCTCTCACCCCCGATGCCCCACTTCTATTTCCCTTTCCCCACAGGGCACCCACTCTGATATTAATTTTAATACTTTATTTTTTTAGAGTAGTTTTGATTTGCAACAAAATTGAGAAGGTACAGAGCTGTCCCATATACCCCTGCCCCCACATTATTAATATAGATCTATTTCTTAGGTTGTTATGTTTACTCGACACCGTGCTCAGTGAGCTGAGTTTAACTCGAGTCCATTGCTTCTAACTACTGCTTAGTATGTGTGATGTGCATGTGTCCTGCATGCCAATCTTTTCCGTTCTGACTGCTTCCAACTCCTGCTTCCCTAAGTAAACCTGCAATGATCTTCTGCTACATGATTCTCATGGACTCCTGTGTGTGTTTCTGAGATATACACCCAAGGGTAGGATTCTCTAGGGCAGGGACAATATACATACTTAGCCTAAGCACTGTCTGACTGCATCCTAGACAACTGCTGCAGTCCGCATGAGGAAACACTTTCCTCCACATCATCCCTGACCCTTGGAATTATCCGGTTTTCTGTTTTAATCTGAATTTTCAAATGACAGAGAAATGCACTATTTTCCTATTATGTTGCCTTTTCTATTAGACTGCGTTCTCCAGGGTAGAGAATGTATCCCAGAATCCTAGACCAGAACCTGGCACAGTGTGGGCAATAATGAATACTTGTTGAATGAGTGAATGAATGAATGAATGAAAAGGCTGATACATAACCTCCTACACCTACCTTGTACCAAAACTTGACCTAGATGGTAGCCGTACATGTGTGCATGTGTGTATATTTGTGTGTAGATGAGGAGATACACCAAGGCCTACACCTCAATCTACTTGGAGAAAAAGACTAACAATAGTAAGAATTTATTGAAAGCCTACTTTGTGTCAGGACATCATAGATATGTTCATCACAACTTTAAGTTCAGTTAGGCAACATAAAAATGTATTTCTCACATTCAGGGTGTTTGTAGGTCTGGCATTCCATGGTGTGGTGGCCAGCCTCCAAGATAGCCCTCAATGATCCTTGTCTCCTGCTAGTCACCTCCTTGTGTAGACCCCTCCTCTATTTAACCAGATCTGACTTGTGTGACCAAAAGAATATGGCAGAAGTCACACATTGTGACTTCTGAATCTAGCTGATAAAGCCATCGAGCTTCTGTCTTGTTCTCTTGAATCACTCACTCTGGGGATGGCAGCCACCACGCTATGAGAACATTCAAATTGTCCTTTGATGAGGCTCATGGAAAGAGAAACCGAGGTCCTCAGCCTACAGCCAGCACCAACCTACCACGTGTGTAAGCCTCGTTGGATGTGGATCATGAATTGCTGGCCCATGGGAACTATGAAAATAACAAAGAAAGAAAGATAAAGATAATAAAAATTATTGGTGTTGTAAGGCCCTCAGTTTGGGGTATTTTGTTATACAACGTTAGGTAACTGAAGCACATGGTGTCAGGGACCTAGGTTCTGTCTATCTTTTCGCTCTACCACATGTGGCTTTTACTCCCTAGGTTGTCTCATGGACCAATATGGCTGCCGGTGCCATTCTGTCTGCATTCTAATTGGCAAAAAAAGGGAGAAAGAGGCAGAAGGAGGAAGGGCACACTTCACCCTTTGAGGATACTTGTCTAGGAGATACAATCTCACTTCTGCTCATGTCCCATTGACCAGACCTTGTCATTTGACCATACCATACTGAAAAAGAGGCTGAAAAATGTAGTCTTCATTGCAGGTGGCCTCACACTGGGTTTCTATTAGTAAAGAAGAAGGAAGAATAGATATTAAGAAACAATTAGTGATGTCCACCCTAGGTGTTATCTCTGGAGATTATACAGTGTCACGTGGTTAAGTTTGAGATTTGGTAGCCTGATTGCCTGGGTTCAGCTCTGCCACTTACCAGACATGTGATCTTGGGAAATGTACTGAATTTCTCTGTCTCAGCTTCCTTGTCTGTAAAACAGGGATCATAATAGAGCCTACCTCCGTAGTAGACTATCAAGATGAAAGAAGTGCTAAATAATTTAGCATGCTCAGGGAGGTACTCACCTGGCTCAGGCTGGCCCTAATACCAGTGAGACTGAGTCACCAAGATGATGCTAAATGAAACTACTGTTTAAGGAGTCCTTTGAAAATTCAAGGAGTCCTGTTGAAAATCCTCAAGGCTGAGTGTTAGGGGCAGGGGCCCCATCTTGAGCTCATGGGTGATTCTTCTATGCTTTGCAGGCTAGACGGGGTGGGAATGCAAGTTGGGGAGTCGGTTCCAGAGAACTCTGACATCAGCAGATCATACTACTCCCGGTTCCAGGTCTGGAGCCCAGCCCAGACAATAGGATTTCAGAGAATAGTGAGATCAGAGGCCCAGAGAAGTCTGGAAAGGCTTTCTGAGGGAGGCGGCCTAGATCAAGTTTAGGGAGTCTCAGCTACCCTAAATGAGGGAGCCCCATGATGAAGTTGTGTTTTAGTTTATCTTCAATGGTCGATGCTGACACAACAGATGCATCTGTGGGTTGCCCTCTTGGGTTGGCATGCAGACACTGCTGTCTGTCTATACAATACCCACCTCCTCCCAACAAGAGAACCCCGATTTGTTTCTGGCATCAGTTGGTCTAACTGTAAATACTCCCTTTCTCAGCCTTTGTTGCAGCTAGGAGAGGCCATGTGGCTCCTTCTGGCCAAAGATAGGGAAGACCCACCTCCTCAAATGAAATGACAGAGTCTCTGGAGAAGGCTTTGCCTTTTACCTTCACTTTCCTGCCTGGAATGGAGACGCGATTCTTAGAGGTGTAGCAACCCTCTTGGTCCCATGAGGACAGAAATCACATGCTAAAAAGTGCAGAGTGAAAAGCCAGAGGAGCTGGGTTCCTGATGTTTTCCTTGAGCAGACACACTAGTCCCTAATCTCTTGGAAGAAAAACAAACAACAACTCCTTTTTGGTGAAGCCACTGTATTGGGTTTCTATTACATGCAGCCAAATGCAGGCCGTTATTACTATATCCAGGTCTCATAATAAATAATGTTCACACTATTACCAACTATAATGCCCTGTGTGCCAGGCACTGAACTAACTGCTTCACATCCATTGTCTTCTTTCATCCTCACTATCCTGGAATTACTATCATGTTACAGAAAGAGAAATTAAGGTTCTAACGAGTTAAGCCAGGAGACGGGCAGAGTCAAGATTTGGACCTGGGTCTCTAATTGTCCTAATTGTCTGTGTTAATGGCTATGGTGGTTTAAAAACATGACCCCCATTTTTCCTATTAAGGGCTGGGGTCTATGGGTCTATGTCTCCTCTCCTTGGGTCTGGGCAGGCTTGTGGCTGCCTTGATCCATTGAATTTGGCATAAGTGACCCTTTGTGACTTCTGAAGCTAGGTCATAAAAGGTAATGCAGCTTCTGTTTTATTCACTAGAATCTTGTTGCTTGGAGCTCAGAGTTGTCATATAACAAGTTCAAATGCCCTGAGACTGCCATTCTGTGAGGAAGCCCAGGCCACATGAAGGTGCATCAGATCAGTTGTACTGTTCTTCCTGTCCTCCCAGCCCAGGGGACAGATATGTGAGTGAAGATGCCTTCATATGATTCCAATCCCAGCTATTGAGTCACTCCCATTTTTAAGTCTTCCCAGTTGAAGATTCAGCCATTATGGAGCAGCAAGAAGCCTTCCCTGCTGTGCCTGTTATTATGACACCTGAAGTACAGGATTTGTGAGCATAAGAAAATGGTTGTTTTAAGAAACCAATTTGTAGGGTAATTTGTCCCACAGCAATACTAATTGTAACTGTAGCTCACTGCAATGCCTCCCAAATATTATCGTCATACCTGAAAGTACCAAAACTCCGAAAATCTAGTTGATTTTTTTATTATTCACTGTAATTATGTTCTGTAAAGTCACTGCAAACTTCAAATTAGAAAATTCTGAACCATTGCTCATGGAAAAAATACAGGATTTGTTTCCTGTGAGCCTCTGGTCCCAACATTTTCGTCAAATGATCAATACATAGCTTTATTTTATGTGTGTTTCTGTTTTAGGACACATTATTTAATACATATTGTTTATTCATTAACACTGAGCTCATGGCCAAGTGCACTATAACTCATATTTGAACAAAGTTTATCTGACATATGTATTTTCTCCATAAGGCACATCATAGCTTTCTTGAGCTCAGGGACACTAAATAGCACTTCAGCACTAAGCTTGGGGCCATTTCAAACAGTGAAATCACCAACGAAAAGCATAAAAATTGTGAAGCGTGACACTAAATAGAACACAAAAAGAATACTCGTTTACAGTACGAGAGCAGAAACAAGAAGGCAGAACGTCAGCTCGATCTATCTCAGCTGGGAACATGTGCGTCCAGTGACTCAAATTTTTCATCACTCTGTGCAGATCCATGAATGACTGTGAAAGCCCTAGCAAGCATTCATTCTGGGATTACAAATAAATTTTAACGAGTAGGCAAATTCACAAATATGGAATCTGAGAATAATAAGAATTGACTGCATTATTTAACAAGTTCAGGGCTTGCAGTCCTGGTGAATAGTTGGAGCAAGTGAGGCATAAAGCAAGTAAAGGCATATTTCAAGAGCCTTACTTTTGTCATTTGTAAAATGTGGGTGATGACACCTATCCTGTTGGGTTTGTGGAGGAAAGGTGGACCGTAGTCCCCCCTTGTCTGAGGTTTTGCTTTCTATGGTTTGTTACCTGTGATCGACTGCAGTCTGAAATATTAAAGGGAAAATTCCAGAAATAAACAATTCATAAATTTTAAGTTGCACACAGTTCTCAGCAGTGTGATGAAATCTCATGATGTCCTGCTTCGTCCCATGCGGAACATGAATCATCCCTTCGTCCAGTGTCTCCACACTGTATATGCTCTCTGCCCATTAATCACTTAGTAGCCGTCTTAGTGATCAGATCGAATGTCACAGCACCGCAGTGCTTGTGTTCAAATCACCCTTATTTTACCTAGTAGTGGCCCCAAAGCACAAGAGTATCAATTCGAATTGCTGGCAATTCGAATATGCTAAAGAGAAGCCTGTGAAGTACTTTCTTTAAATGAAAAGGTATGTATGTATAGGAAAAGATGTAGTATATATAGGGTTTGGTACTATCCATGATTTCAGGCATGCACTGGGGGTCTTGGAATATATCCCACACAGATAAGGGGGAGCTACTGCAGTAACAATAGCAACAATAACTGTTATTTATCAAGGGCTACATGTTAAACACTCTACATATCTTACCTCATTGATTCCACAACAATCCTATGACATAGAGCCAATTATTAAGCCCATTTTACAGACAAGGAAACTCAGACCCTGTCGGGTTAAGGGACTTTGCTCAAGATCTTACAAACTAGAACAGGCAAAGCAGGATCTCAGGCTCATTTCTGAGTCCCATGTTCACATTCTTTCCTGTCTTGCACTCATGAGCCATGTTTACAAAATGCCTCACAGTAAGTGGACACTTTGCTGATGATCCTAAACTGAGATCTGGGGTCTTCAAGGCTGTTCTGCAAAGGGAGTGAGGAGGCAGAGCCCTGCAGTGGGGTGGAGGCCAGAGCAGGAGCCATTGGGGAAGGAAGGGAGACTGGGTGGTGGGAAGGTAGGGCAAAGAGCTAGGAGGATCTAGAATCAGACCCAGTGGTCCCTCCCACAGAGGGTTAAAGCAGCTCAGCCTCCTTCGGCTGAGCGGAAATCAGATTCTGAGAGCTGAGCAGGGCTCCAGAGGGATGTTTTTCTTTTCTGTTTGTCTGCTTGCTGTGGCTGGCCCATAAAATCCACCGGAACTCCATGCTGGACTGAGAAATTCCTGCTTAACAGGGACGTGGAGAAGGCAGGCAGGGGGGAGGCCTTGTCAAGGCAGAGACCACCCCCATCTTCAAGGGCCCACCTCTGGGGGGCCTTGAAGCATTCTTTGGATGGAGGCATGTTCAAGGAAGAAGTGACAAACAAACTTGGGGAGCAATTACCAGGAGGGGTTAAGCTGTGGCAGGTGAATGGGGTGAGATTCAGGTCCTTTCCTTCTATGCCACCTCTCTGGCTGTTTCCTCATCTCAGCACCCCAAGCGAGATGACTATCATCTATATTTCCTCGCCGGAGTTGACAGTTACAGGTTCTTTCTGGAGGTTAAGTAGACTTCACTCCAGGTGAGACTCGAACTGACAATCCCTGGCTTAGGAGACCAGTGCCTTATCCAGTAGGCTGCTGGGGCTTCACAGGTTCTTTTGTCTAGTA